TCACTTTCAGGTGTGCTCTGGGCTGTGGATGGGTCATGCAGGGCACAGGAGTGGGGGACGCCAATCCATGGGCCCTGGTGAACTGGAAGAGTTTATATCCTGTCTCAAGAAACACTCAAGGCAGCTAGTTGTGGCCATGCTAGAATGATAACAGCCTAAGCAGAGGAGATTGACATCCACACTTTATGCACAATGCCCTGATCATGCTGCTATGGTTTGAATAAATGTCCCTTAAAGTCCCATGTCTTAATGAGTTGGTCCTCAGAGTGATGCCTTTGGGAGATGGGGAAGTAGGACTTACTGAGAGATCCTTAAACTTTGGGGGCATGCGTTTGAAGAGGATTGTAGAATCCCAGACCCTTTTTTATTTCCTTTTTGGTTCTTGGGTGGCGAAATGAGTGATTTTACTCTAACTGCGGGCTCCCACCATGATAGGCTGCATAGTCAGAGGCATAAAGCAATGAGCTTCCCAATTTTGGACTGGAATCTCAAGAACTGTGAGCTAAATAAACCTTTTCTCTTTACAAATTATCTCAAGTATTTTGTTGTAGTAACAAAAAAATGACTAATAAAATTATCAATTTTAGCAGACACTGCCAAGTCCTTCCCATGCCTGTGGGGTACTTAGGAATTCCATGCATGCCAGCCTGAGCAGCCAACTTTGCCTGAGCACTAACTTTGGCAACTGGAGTCTTTCTGCCCACAGCGGGGAATATTGGAAGTCCTGCTGAACCAAGGTCCTTGGGAGCTGTTCTCAGCGAATGACTGGGAAGGAATTGGATAACAAACACTCCACCTCCCTTTTCCCTTTTGGGAGATAACTCTAAGGCATGGTCTATAGGACTCCCAGAATTCCTCAGAAGGGTTCATTCATGGTTATATGTTAGGTAATTCACCTTGTGCATTATACTAGTTGCCTTCCCTTTTCTGTATCACAATCCCCTTTATACCAATTTTATTGAAGTCATTTTCAATAAACTACTTGTACATGAGTCCTAGTCTCAAGATCTCTTAGAGATAGTTAATTCAAAAAATGTCTAAATGTGGCCAGGGTGTAGCTCAGTGGTAAAGTAGTTGTATAGCTTGCACAAGGCCCTGGGTTAAAGTCTCAGCACCCCTCCCATACACACACACAAATTGAAAATAATTACTTAACATATTGTGTCTGCAGATAGACTCAATCCAAGTTGCAACTCCAATTAAAGTGGCCACTTGCGTGGATTCTTTTTACCATCATGGACAAGAGAGTCTTGGAAAAGAAAGCACTAAATTCCAATGATAACAGATTGACAAGTAGAACCTGGGAAAGACTAGAGTGTGTGGCTTCTTCATCCATCCATACGTCCCTTGGGTTAAGAGCCCAGGTAGATTAGGATAAGTCTACATCATATGTGTGAAGACACTGCACATGTGCAGTACTTTCTGACCACTTAACAGGTAGAGCTTTTCAAGTGAGAAGGTTTGAAAATGCAAATATTGCAATGACTTTTGGGGTTGCACCCCTCTCTCCCTCCTCAACCCTGATACAGTTGGGCAGAGTCCACCAGCCCTGAGGTCTGAGCCACAGGCTTAGGAAAAATGTCCCTCCAGAGAGGAATAGTAGTGTCTGTAAGAATGTAGAAGAGGGGTGGTATGCTTTGTCCCCTCCAAAAATTATATTGGAATCTTATCCCCATTATTAAGAGGGTAGAAATTTAATCCAATTATAGTGTATAGAGGTGGGCCCTGTGGAAAGTGATTAGGAATACATAAGCTCATCAGTTTGGAGCCTCCATGATTTATAAAAAACAAAAGCTAGAAGAAATATATATTTATGCTCCCTGTCTCTATGTGATGTCCTGCACCACCTTGAGACTGAGAGCAAGAAGACCATCTCCAGATGTGGCCTTTGAACCTCCAGTACTGACAGTTAAATGAACCTCTTTTCTTTATAAAGTTACCCAGCTTCAAGTGTTTTGTTATAGTAGTGCGAAACAAACTTATACAAGGGATTTTCATGAGGCTAATTTCCCTATTCAAGAAAAGGAGGATTTTCTAACCACTGGAGTTGTCCACTTTTCGCCCATGGATCACTACATAGCCACCAGCTACAGCACTGGTAGAGCAATTTGGATAAAGTGGGAGTTTTTATGACTCTATAAATCAGTTTTCCGATTAGGAAAGGGATGAATGCTAGAATAAGCCCCATTTGCACACTAACCCTGTAATTATCAAATGACCATTTATTTTATCCTCAAATACCTTACTAATGTTTCCTTTGTTACTTTTAGGAAAATTAAGCTACTGAGCTTTGTTCCTAATTCTATTTAAAGAATATTGAGTAAAGGGGCTGGGAATATAATTCTCTGTCTCTGATTTTTTTATATTTCCATAAATTGTTTCTATTTTCAATGAAAAGAATTTTTATTAACTTAAAACCATTATTTAAAAGTTTGACTATTGAATGAGGGAAAACCAGTGCTGGACAGAGATATAAGACACTCAGAACATTTTTTTTAATTCACATAATTCAAATTGTCAAGCCAGAGCCTGGAATAACGTTTTTCTGTCCAACTTGTAAAATCCATGGTAATAGACAGATAATCATGGAAATATTCAGAAACCTTCTTTAGATCCAGACTCAGAGCTGCCCTGATTGCTTCTACCTCTCTGAGGAGAGAAGAAAGCATTTGAAAGAAAGACCTTCCACCAATGGGAGCTGTTTAAGGAACCAGGCAAAAAGGTGAAATGCATTTGTTGTATTTGGCCTTTACCTGACAGGTGCATTGGGGTGAGTCATTTTCTTTTATGTCTGCCAGCTGGGCTGTAAAATGATTATAATAACAAGATCTTGTTTACTAAGACTGAAGTCCATATTTCCTTGCCTCATTCTGCTGGTAGAAAGAAAACATAAAAGCAGGGCTAGGGATAGAGCTAAGAGGTAGAGTCCCGGCCTAGCATGTGCAAGGTTCACTATGCTACAGAAAGAAAAAAAAGAAGAAGAAGAAAGGAAAGGAAAGGAAATCTAGGCTGGGAGCACAACTATAATGTCAGCTACTTAGGAGACTGAGGCAGGAAGACTGCAAATTCCAGGTCAGCCTGGGCAACTTATCAAGACCCTGTCTCAAAATAAAAATTTAGAAAAAGGGGTGGGAGAGGTACTAGGGTACTAGGGTACTGAAACTCAGTGCTTACCTAGCATAAGTGAGTCTCTGGGTTAAATCCCCAATGCTGAAAGAAAAAGAGAGAGAGAGAGAGAGAGAGAGAAGGGAGGGGTGGGGGGGAGGGTAGGGAAGGGAAAGAAAAAAGAAAAGAATGATTAAAAAGCTCTTCTAGCCAACTACAACTTGGAGATGAGAAACCCAGGTGTCAAATAAGCTAACTTCTTTTAAACCGGATTTGCGAATGAAGGATTCCATTATAGTTGGGATTGCTGTTCTCTTGTGGGCTTATGCTTGTGACCAAAAGCAAATAAAATAGGAAAGAGAGAAGAGATTGGGGTGATGTCAGTCCAAGATAACAAAATTTCAGTTCAACAGGAGGAATGAGTCCAAGAGATCCATCGTACAACGTGGTGACTATAGCTAACAGCAATGTATTTTGTATTTGAAATTGCTCAGGGAGTAGATTTCAAGTGTTCTTACCACAAATAAATGATAAGTACGTGATGATGGATATGTTAATTATCTTGAGTTAGCCATTCCACAATGTAGAAATATTTCGAAACTTCATTTGTACACTACAAACTTTACTTGTCAACTAAAAAATTCTCCCCATCCTCTGCAAATAGGAAGGGTACAATTTGACTAAAGAAATTAAAAAGAGAGTAGAGGAGGGAGGGGTTGGGATCAGATGGGAAAGGCCCATCTCTCAATCCAGTCATGCTCTATTGTCAGTAACAGACCCTATATCAGACGGTGGTTATATCACCTAGTGACGGTGCTGTTGTGGCCTTCTTAGTTTGTGTAGGTACACTTTATGATGTTCACATAGAACATATCTCCCTGGGGTTAAGTCACTCATGACTAAGCAGTTCAGACCCTCGATCTTGCCTGACCTTGCCCTAGGTAGCACAAAAGCCCAAGAATGCATGACTCGCCCCAGCTCCACTAATTGGGAACTGGAAACTGGGAACTCTGTGTTAGAATCCCCAAAGCCCAGGCTGCAGCCAATCTCCAGGCAGTGGTGGCCTCAGCGGGTGCCTGTCCTCAGTCGCTCTGGGGAGAATGAGTTGGACAGCCAGTCTTGAATGGTCGTTCTGAGCGGACTGCCAGTGCAGCCTGGAGCCTGGCCAGGGGACCTGAGTGTCATTTTCTCTTTTAAGGACAGATCTTCCTTTACCTCATCATTCGCTCTGGGAGCCACTTAGGAAGCCACAGTGAGGCTTCCTCTAAAGGGACTGAGCCTGCTGTAACTCCCTGCCTTTGTCCTTTAGCCCCCCACTACAGCTCCCTTGACATTCTTTCAGGGGAGTTGTGGAAAAGGCTTGGCAGCTCCCAACCACATGCAGTGTCCTTAGTCCCCTTTGGGTTTTTTTTTTTT